GTTTCAAAGAAAAAGTGTATTGCTGTGAACAACAACAACTTGCATTTTTAAGAGCACGTTTTATGCTGGTTAGCAGCTCGGAGCACTTAACAGTGGTGTAGTTTGAAGCCGAGCAGGGAGAAAGGGGAAATGACCATAAGCATGGTCAAAGAGGAAAGTCTTCAGGTATTATCTGAACTATAAGACAACAACTTTAATTTATATAGCACCTCTCATGCTGGGTAGCGTCCCAGAGTGCTTGACAGTGACGAAACACAACGCCGAGCTGGGAGGAGAGGGGAGGTGACCATAAGCATGGTCGAAGAGGAAGGTCTTCAGGTGTGACCTGAAGATGGGGAAGGATGGGGCAAAGCAGAGGGATTGAGGGAGAGTGTTCCAGACTTTCAGGGCGTAGTGCTGGAAATTCGGCCACCGATGGTGGAAAGGAGGGCACGAGGGACAAGCAGGAGGCCGGAGCCGATCAAGTGGTGGCAACGGGTAGTGGGTTGGGAAGTAAGCAGGTGTGAAGACAGGAAAAGAGGGGTCAAAGCAAAGGTTTTGAGGCAGAAAGTTCCAGCGTGGCTGAAAGCACAGCAGCTGATGGTGAAGTGTCTATATCGAGGAACTGTATCTATCAAGAGGAATACATGTAAGAGCCAACAGTTGGCATATGAGAAAAATATGTGTGCTTCCATGAAAGGGAAGCATGCCCACTGACTGAGAAGTTAATCTGAATAATCATTGTGAAGGTACATCAAACATTATTTCAGGGCTCTGAAAGAAATAATTCAATCATGACAGAGATTGCAAGATTAATTAAAAACTTTAGTGAGCAAGTGTCTTCGTAATATCAAATAGATTGTGTACGTGCGAAGGAATGTCGAAATCGAGTCACCCCTCTGTGGCGGTCTCAGTAGTTTGGTTCCTGAGCCAGGCAGGTTCACAGTACTCTGAGGCACTATTACTGACAGATCAGCAAGCCTGGCTCATTGGCCGGACTTGGACAGACCAGTCACTGAGAGCAGGAATTCTTACCACTCAGCTCCTGCTGACACTCCTACCCAAAGCTCTAAAGGATGGTGGTTCGAGCTGGATAACCAGTGTTTACAGTGGTTTTAGCTGGTTTAATTCCTGCAGCATTCCTTGACACTTCCTTATCTGCACCTATTATGTTTCATGGGATTGGGCTAGGAGGGTGCAGCCCTCTGGGGCGAGCGAGTATACTCCTGGTCGCGACAATATGATTTCACACATATGTGGCACTCTCAATAGTTTGGTCTAGATACTTTTAAGCAAGTTGTTGGGTTTGCACGTATGTCAGATACCCGGCTGATTGTATTAAAGATTATGTTTTGCTACAGACTAAGTTTTATTCTCAACTATTACTTGGAGACTCCCCCAACTATCATTCTGCAAATATAAATTGACTACTAATACATTGAATCTAGAAGCTGTGTGGAGTCCTGCAGCATAGTGGTTAAAGCACTCGCCTCGCGAGCGAGAGGACCCAGATTCGATTCCCGGGTGGCGCAAAACCTTACATAGATTTCCTCACTCCACATGCCTCTGTTTATCTAGCAGTAAGTAGGAACCCAGTTGTTAGTCAATTGGCAGATCGCTTTCCAGGGGTAATAATCTCTCGTTTCCCCCTCAAAAAAAATTGGCTCACTCAATCCACATATGTTTGTGGAACCTCGCTGTGTTTAATTGGCTGTTGCATTTTGCCCACAAAATACACAGTCTATCCACTTACAATATATTCTGTGAAGTGCTTTGAGATGTCTCAACAACATGATAAGGCACGATATCAAATGCAAGGATTATTATTATATTATTACTACAGCACAAATACAGATCATCAACTAGTCCATGCTGATGATTATACTGCAGCATGAGTATCCACCCACTCTAATCCCCTCTGCCATTTATTTCTATTCCCTTCTCCCTTATGAATGCATAGAGTTTCCTCATGAAATGCTTTGTTGCTTTCTGCTTGAGCAAGGCTTCCAGCAGTGAGCTCCACATTCCCACCACTCTGTGTAAAGATGCTCCTCTCTTTTAGATCTGCCAGTGTCTATCTTATATTTATATACCTTTGTTTATAGATTCACCAACGAATGGAAGCAGCCTATTTATGTTCAAAACTTGGTTTTGGTGGATTTTTTCAAAGACAAACCACATACATTCTCGGTGCAATTTCATCAATTTTCCTTAAATATTTCATTGCAGTGTCAGCTTCACAGACTTCTGGTTTCTGAAGGGATTGTAAGTGGAAACTATTGCGAGCCTGTTTAGAACCATAGATATTTACAGCACCAGAAGAAGACTATTCAGCCCATCATGTCTGTGATGACTCCTTTACCTGCCCTTTCCCCATACTCCTGTAGTTTACTCTTTTTATTTAAGATATTAATCTTGTACCCTTTTCAAAGATTATTCTGCCTCAACCACACTCACAACAGTGCAATCCATATCCTAACTACTTTGTTTGCATTTTGCACTTCAGTGGATGAATCAAATGTCATTTGCATAATAAAACACATTAAACTGAGGTGTCGTCTGCCTATTCAGGTGAATGTTGAAGATCCCCTGCCACTGTTCGAAAAGAGAAGGGGGTTTCTCCCGGTTTCCTGGCCAACAATCCCCCCTAAATAAAACTTGGTCGCTCACTCCATGGTTGTTTGTGGAACATTGATGTGCGCAATTGGCTGATAAAAATATTCAAGACGTCTCAAAGCACTTCACAAAATATACTGTAATGTGAATTAACTATATAGATTTTGAAATATATTTTTTCCCCAAAAAATATAAAGTCAATCCACTTTACAATATATCCTGTGAAGCACTTTGAGACATCTTGATGACGCGATAAGGCTCTTTAAGAATAAGAATATTCCTTGTATTTGATATAGAGCATTATCACGTCTTCAAGACATCTCAAAGCATTTCACAGAGTATACTGTAAAGTGAATTCACTGTATATTTCTTTGTGGGCGAAACGCAGCAGTCAATTGCGCACAGCAGTGTCCCACAAAAGGTCGTGGATTGAGTGACCATATTATTATTTTTTTTAAGGAATTATTATTACACCCAGAAAAGCGATCCACCAATCGACTAACAACTGGGTTCCTACTTACTACTAGCTAAACAGAGGCGTGTAGAGTAAGGAAACTCTGCCTAAAGTTTTGTTCTGCCTGGCAAACGAATCCTTGTTTCTCTAACCACTCTAGTGCTCTAACCATTTAGCTACAGGACTCCGCTATATCAAATGCAAGGATTATTATTATTAAAAGCTATGGCTACATCTTTAAAACTGTCGACAAATGGCACTGTTGTGACAAAATAAATCCTCATCACCTCCTGGGATCTGTATATAAAAATAAATAGTAAGAGGTGAGTTAAAAGTAGCAAAGTACGCATATAGTGATAAGACATAACTACACATGCACCCTTTGGGTCAAGTAAACGAGGAAGATGGCTCCACAAAGTGCAAGAGGGGTAAGAGCTGGAACAGAAATTCTGCTACATATTTTAAAAAATTGTTCTCTACCCTTTGAGTTCAGTTCTTAACGGTCAACACATTTCTAACGGAACAATATTATACTCGAATATAATACTAGTTTGTTCTTTTTGACATAGAGCCTTTCACATTCAGGAGGACATCTCAAAGTTATTCACAGTATTTGCTGTATGGTGGAGTGACTGTGTTTTTGTGGGTGAACGCGGTAGCCGATTTGCGCACAGCAATGTGTCCCACAAACAGCCATGGAGTGAATGACCAATGTTATTTGGAGGATTGTTGGCGAGGGCACTGGGAGAAACTTTCTTCTCTGTTCAAATAGTGGCAAAGGATCTTTCACATTCGCTGGAAAGGCAGACCAGGGTCTAGGTTTAATGTCTCATCTAAAGAATGGCACTTCCAACAGTGCAGCACACCTCCAGCACTGCACTGGAGTGCCAGCTTAGACTGATGAGTTGAAAGTCCTAATATTTCTGTACATTTCTGCAGTTCTATAGTTCAAAGGCAATAAAACAAGTGGTCATAGGTTCAGGTTTCTGAAGGGCAATTTTATGACAGACACCTACAAGGCTGTAATTAACAACTAAAAATACAATTAACAATTTGATGAGGAAAGATGGTTGAAGGCAATATGTTGGGACCCGTATAAGAAACAATTTGACCCTGCAATGGAAGGCCAGTAGGGTGGATATTCTGGAAGGATGAGATCAATGGGAAGAATCTATCTTGTTCCAACTTGTGGTTCTATTTGGCACCAACCTTGCTCCCTGGCATTTTAACCATGACTACTTTTGGTTATCCTAGAGAATCAATAACAAAAATAACAACAAATTGCATTTGTACAGCACCTTTCACATCAGGAGGATGGACAGTCACTGGACAGTCAGGGATTTGGACTCAAGATGGGGGTTAGGATCAGGAGGAATACAGGAGCATAGGATTCAGCCCCTCAAAGCTGTTCCACCATTCTTTAAAGATCATGGCTGATCCGTATCTCAATTCCAATTAGGAGTGGAGGCCAGGGAGGGTAGGGATAGGAGGCTGACCACTGCAATCAAAGTTCCACTGCAATAGGCAGGAACCCAAAGAACGGGCTTCACGAAAAAAAATGCAATGTTATCGGAGGAAGAATTATTCCCAAAAAATGAAATGAAGAATCATCGTCGCCCAAAGAAACTAATATCATTCATTTTTATGTGATTTGTGATGGGCAAGATTGTGATGAAGGTGCTTGATATTAATTATGGTGATGGTGGAGCTAGGCTAGGCCAGACACTTACACAGGACCTCACACCCCAATCAATCCTCTAACACCATTCAATCATGCTGTTGTAATATTAAGCAGACTGCTCTCCTCTGTCGGCTTATTGCTAAGTCGTGTATCAGGATAATTCTGGTGCTGCCCTTTCCTTATTTGAGCACTGTTAGAAATAATCATTCATTTAATCTACATTCTAATGGACATAATTTCATCAGAATGTGCAAAATTGTGTCTCTTCAGGGCTATGATGACGGCTATGGAGGGGAGTATGATGATCAAAGCTACGATGCTTATGACAACAGTTATGCAACTCAAGTGGAGAGGTAAGTAATGCATTAACTTAATGCAACTAATGCTACAGATTACATAAATGTGTAGGTACTACACATTTACAAAATTGCAAAGATGCATTGTTGCATAGATATATTGGAAGGAGGCGCAAAAAGTCTAGAGACCCATCATGTTTTCTCTCAGAAGAAAACGGGGTCACTGGGGGCAGAGATTTTTCACATTCAGCTCCAGTTAACCCTGCGAGCCAAAGCACCTATGGTTAGGGTGGTCCAAGCTGGACTAGAAGTGTGAAACTTCCCGGATAGTATTTTAATGGCAAGCTTAGCAGTTTAGCTAGTTAAATTCCAACAGTACTTCAACACACACTCTGAGGTTCCCCAAGGCTTAGCTCTTGCCAACCTATGCCTAATACTGTCTCGAATTAACTAAGCAGGATGTGTCCCTCCGATGAGAGAGTGCACATTCCATTCCAGTCATGGGAATTTCCATTTGTAGGTGGAATGCATGAAATTCGCAGTTTGGTTTCAATTTTGGACTCTCTTAAGCATGGTGATGGGTTTCCATATATGTCAGACACCCGGCCGATCAAAATAAAGTGAAACTCCCTACCCAACCTTCCTTACAATATTCACCTACACATCTCTCCTAGTCCTGGCCAGTTAATCGTCTCCTGGAGGAGATGAGACAACAGAGACAAACCATAAAGCCCTATTGCCTATTTAGGAGGAGAGGGAATGAATATTTACCTGGACAATTCCTGGCTGACTCCCGAGGACAGCATGTTACTTCTGGAAAACTAATTTGTGCGAAAGTGCTGGCAGCTTCCCGAGACAAAATATTTCCTGGTTTACAGGAGAACGCAGAAAAAGCAGAGAATTGGGATTCGATGGCTTCATTGTAGGAGCAAACTCTTTTACGCTATTAGAATGGGTTAAATGGTTATCCGCTGTGTTGCAGATTCAACTATTTTCCCAAGTGGTTGACACCTGTGTGTAAGTCACCTGTCACAGGTGTTCTATAGAGTTACAGTATATTTTTATTCAGGAGGGATATGTACTGACCATTTGTATAGCTGGGCAACTTTAGTTAAACAAAGTAAATATTAAATGAAGCACTTTTATGCAACCAGGTTCTTTAGTCACTCAATGCAAGAAATGTAGGAAATGCTTGCAAGAGAATAATGGAGAAGACATTTATCTTATAATTTGGTCACTCAATCCACAACTGTTTGTGGGACACTGCTGTGCGCAATTGACTGCTGTGTTTGGCCCATAAAATATAGTCAATTCACTTTACAGTGTATTCTGTGAAGCGGTTTGAAACACCCTAACTGCGTGATAAGGTTCTACATCAAATGTAAGGATTACTATTATTATAACAGGAATTAATATCTTGGGGTACAGTATATAGTTTAGGACATGACATATGCAAGCAACTGCCAGGATGGTGGAAAGCGAACTGGATGGATCTTGGTCTTCTTTCAACGAGCAATTCTTATGTTCTTATTAGTTTTTAACTGGCGAAAATATTTTCAGTACTTTTTCCACAGGCAAATCTACCAGTGGCAATGGGTCTAATGGATGCTGAGTGCATGACTGCCAACCAAACATTCTTGTGTGCTTGTCTCAGGCCTGTCGCTGCCTGCCAGTCAGTCAGACAGACCCACAAGCTTTCGATGGGTGACTTCTTTGCAGCTCTCATCTATCCCTCGCGGAGTGCCACATAGCAGCAGGGAGCAGGGGGAGGAGGGGTTGAAGGGGAACAAAGTCCATTACATTATTCAAATTGTCCCGCTTGATCCACTCTCGGAGTGCTGCTAACAGAATGTGTAAAGATTCAGCAGTCTAGACCATCCTGCCCTGTGAGGTAGAGAGGATTTTTGCTGGTGCATTGCCTCAAAGAAAATTGGAACTAGTAAAAACAAAACGTATCCTTAGTGACCGCTTCACGCAATATAATATTAGATTACATTTGTGTAGCACCTTTCACGTCGGGAGGATGTGCCAAGGTGCTGGACAGTCAAGGATTTGGACCCAAGCGGGGGTGGGGGGATTGGGGATAAAGGAGGGTGGCGGGCAGGAGGGTAAGAGGGTGGCCGAAGGCATAGTCAAAGAGGAGGGTCTTGAGACATGCCTTGAAGGAGGCAAGGGAGGGAGCGAGGCAAAGGGAATGTGGGATGGAGTTCCAAAGAGTGTGGGCAGAGAGGCTGAAGGCCCGACTACCCATGGTGGGGCTGGCCGGTGCAAGGGACAGGGAGCAGGACGGAGCCTGCTGAGTGGAGAGCGCGGACAGGTTGATAAGGGGTTAGCAGGAGGGCCTTGAAGGCGAGGATGAGGATTTTAATAAAAGCAATAATAATAATCCTTGCATTTGATATAGAGCTTTTCACGTTTTCTAGACGTCTCAAAGCGCTTCACAGAATATACTGTAAAGTGAATTGACTGTATATTTGTGGGCAAAATGCGGCAGCCAATTGCACACAGCAGTGTCCCACAAACAGTCGTGGATTGAAGTAACCAATTTATTATTGTTTTTTTTCTTGAGGCATTATTATTGGGCGTGTGGAGTAAGGAAACTTGCCCAAGGTTTCGTCCTGCTGGGAATCAAACCCAGGTCTCTCGCTTGCCAGGCAAGTGCTCTAACCACTGAACTACAGGACTCCTTTCGAACTCTATTCTCTGGGGAATGGGGAGCCAGTGGAGCCAGGAACTTTCCCTTGTATTAATTTGTATCTGTAATTGCCAATTAGGAATTGAAAGGAAAGAGAGTGGATGCAGTTTGGTTGTGTTTTGTTGCCTCCCAGCTTTGCTCTTTCCTCTCCCTGCATGAATCCCTCTAATCTGGATTTCACTCTGATCATGGTACAGAGACTGCCCTTGTCAAAATTACAGATGATATTCTCTCCTTCTGTGACCAACGCACTCTCTGCCTCCTTAACTTACTTGATTTCTCTGCTGTCTTCGACAATGTTGATCATTCTATTTTTCTCCACCTTCACGGTCCTGTCCTTACCTGGTTTACTTCTTACCTTTCCCAGCGTCTCAACTTTGTGTCAGCCAACACCTACTCCTCCCGTACTAGCACAGTCCCTGGTGGAGTTCCTCAGGGCTCTATCTTCAGTCCTCTCCTCTTTAACATTTACATGCTCCCGCTTTGTGATATCATTCTCAAGCAGGAGATTAACTTCCACATGTATGTAGATGATGCCCAACTCTATCTCTCTGCCTCCACCCTGAGTTCCAAGACTACTTGGGTCCTGACCGATTGCCTGACAGACATCAAGTGCTGGATGAGAGTCAATTTTCTCCAATTGAATGTCAACAAGACAGAGGCTCCCATGCTTGGCTTCCGTCAACGCCTTTTCACCTCAGGCATTGACAGCATCACTCTTCACTTCACTGAACCAATACGGAATCTTGAAGCAACTCTCAACTGTCCTTTAACCCCCATATCTCTGCCTTGACACATTCAGTTTTCCCCCATCTCCGCAACATTGTCTTCCTCCGCCACTACCTCTCCCTCAAGCCCCCAAGACCCTTATCCATGCTGTACCCATTTAAGAAGCAGGTAGAGTGGGAGGATGGTAGAATGGGTATCCTGAAACAATGAGATTATATGGGCCGAAGGTCCTTCTTCATCAGAACCTCTTTTCTTATCTTAGGATATCCAGAGGCGTCCAGCCATAAAGTGAATAACAGGGGCCTCAACGTACTTATATTGTGGAGCATTGCGTACTTCACTGTGTGGGTGCTTCAAATGCATACTGCTCATTTGAAGTGCTCCTACAAACTGTTTTTCAGCTTATAAAACTGTTAGATCTGAAAGCATATAACATTTCCATTACCACATCTGGGCCACTGCATATTGAAAAGAAAATCTATTAATAAGTTTGTATCAGCCCATATGATCTCGCGCTTTTGTTAAATTTTATTGATGTAAAACAAACAATGGGGTTCAACTTTATTAACCTGTTAAAATCTGGCCTCTAAATGTTGATATTATCAACGCTTTATTTCAGCCTTCAGCCTCTCTGCTCCCACCCTTTGGAATTCCATCCGACAGTCCCTTCGCCTCGCTCTCTCCCTTGCATCTTTCAAGGCCTGTCTCAAGATCCTCCTCTTAGACTATACCTTCGGTCACCCTCCTACCCCTACGTTCCTTGCCCTCCACTCCTCCTGATCTCAACCACTGTACCCCACCCCCACTCACCTCGTGTCTAAATCCCTGCCTGTCCAGCACCTTGGGATGTCCTCCCGACATGAAAGGCACTACACAAATCCAATTTGTTGTTGTCGGTGTTGTATTTAACAACACCGCTGATTGGAAGTTTATCGTGCTGGATCGTGCCAGAAAGCATGCAAGTCTTTTGAATGTTAAAACATGTTTCAAGACCTCCAGGAGTTAAAACTGTAATGCAGTACCGACTGTTTTTACAGTTAAAAACAGTCGGTACTGCATTACAGTTTTAACAGCGCTGTAGTTGGAACAATGCCATATTCGTTAAATTTTATTGACCTAAAACAAACAGTGGGGTTCAACAATATTAACCTGTTACACTATATATAATGTATGTTGAATTGTGTGTTCCTTATTTCTGTTATGTCTGAACTTCTGATCAAATAGCTTGAGTGCAGCAATTTAAGGGGAAACATTATTTGAAGGTTTAGTGTTGTCTTCTATTATATTTGACATGTTGAAAGATCATGGGTACATTAAAGTAAGGTTGAAAGTCTGCCATTATTCAGCTATGCAGACACTTGATTCCCTTTGGGTAACGTTAAGAGCCGTGGCGTGAATTTACAAGTCAAGAGGCTGTTATTGTTGTAGTGCTACTCAGTTTATTTGAATATACTTCAGTCCCTCTATTTATTTCATGTAAGGAGACTGTAAAAAATACAAACTTATTAATAGATTTTCTTTTCAATACGCAGTGGCCCAGATGTGGTAATGGAAATGTTATATGCTTTCAGATTTAACAGTTTTATAAGCTGAACAAGTAACCTTGCAAATGGATGGAAAATGTTGCTTTTTT